TTTGTGATGGTAGATATGCCTGTACACAACAACGTGCACATCGCGTAAGCAGAATGGAATACAAAAATTTAGTAGAGAGAGAAAAAAGCCTGGTAAACAACACTCACTTGATTTCTGAAGATAATTCTGTCATCAGGGTTATCTTTGCACGAATGAATCCATGTATTTGCAGGGAAGAAAATGGGACCTTCATCAAAACCATGAACTACAATCTCCATCAAGTATACCTCCTTGCCATGAAGATTGGAAACAAGAATTGCTCCAGGATTCCCAAAATCGAAGGGAACAGTAAAATCAGCTGCATATTCAAAGATATGCTCGTTATTTGATGGCTTTGGTAACCACCCCCTCACAAAAGCCCTTACACTCTTCCCTGAATTGGTTTCTGCAAGAACAACAAAGCCATAAACACTCAGAAAGTTAAAAACATGACATATTATAACATGGTCATGTATACCCAAATCTAATAAAACATTGAAAAAAAAAACAGATCATGATCTGTCCTTTAGTTACACAGATAGGCTTTTTTGCTTTGTCTAACCATATGAATAAAAAAATAAAGAAAGAAGCTTTGATCACTATTCACTAAAAATAAGTAACGACCACTCAACATTAAAAAAAATACCAAAAACAGTACTTCAAATCAAGATCTGTAGCGATGTAATGAAACTGCAAAGCAAAGTTTGAAATGCACCCCAGAATCCCACAGCTCATGTACTTGCTTTTCAAAAATATCCAAGCTTTTAACTTTTTAGCGCACAGAAAACATTAAAACAAACAAAAATCACAAAAAAAAAAAGTTCTTTCAAGTAAGAGAATATGTACTACCAATTACCAGGATCAATCTCCTCACTGACAAGTTGAATCGAGATCCCTCTACCAATCCCATTAATGAAATATTCCCATTGATCCTCAAGCTTTTCATTGATCTTCTCTTTCATCTTCTTTCTTATAGTGATCACTGCCCTCACATCTATCCCTCCTCTCCCTAATTTATCACTAGTACTCGATAACACAGTACCGTTGACTTCTTTATTATCAGCTTCCTTATGAGGTTGCTCCAAAGCCTTGTCATCATTGCTTATCACTGCCCGGATGGAACCGGGCGTACAAATGACCTTTGATCCAGATGGAACCCGGGTTTGCCAGAAAAACCCACGTTTCCAGGTCCTGGATGCCGCTGTAGATCTCCGGAAAGCAAGCTCTGGCTTGAAAGGAGAATATACTTGTTTCACTGCATACATAGTGATGAAAAGAAAGTTTAAAGACAACTAATAAGGCAAAAAAATGATGTTGCTTGGTGCTGGAAGAACCGATGGAGCTGCCCTGCCTGAGACAGGGAGGGATAGACTTCTGCCTGTATAAACTGCGTGGACTGAGTAAGTGTCCGAGTGAGAGAGCCAGTCTATAATTGTAAAGTCCACTACGTACTATGGTTCCTTTCTTGTTATCCTTCGATGTCTTCATTAATAATGTTTGTGAAGATGAAGTTGAGTTGCACGCTCTCAGACTCAGTTAATTGAGCGTGGAGACACGTGCCAATGATGTAGCTGGAGTGTGAGACGCTTCCAAGTCAATTTCTGATAGGGACTTTACAAGCAGAACAAATACTATAATACTGCACGATCTCGGGACTTGCTATATTTTTTAATTATATATATATATATAAATATAAATATATATATATATATATAGCCACATGTTTTTTTAGATAAAAAATTCTAAATATATATAAAAAATGTATACATACATTTAATTGAATAAATTAAAAATTATGTGTTAAAAAAAATTAAAAAAAATTAAGTTGTATATGATAATTAACATATTTAATTTTGTAAGATGAAATATTTATTTAGTTATATTTATTAAATTTATTTATTAAAGTAAGTCTTTTATTCATCCATATAATAATAGCAATAAACATTCACATTGATCAATTAAATAAAAGAAAAAAATATAATAAAATACTGCATATATTAAAAAAATTATCTGAAAATAAATATATTTTTATTTTCAAGAATAAATTTCATATATATATAATAAAAAAATATATAGATAAATGAAAATAACATCTTCAAAAATTAAACACACAAAATAATTAAAGAAATTTCCTATCAAAAAAGTTAAACAAGGAAAAAAAATTCAAAGATGAGAAATATTAATTAAAAATTATTTAAAAAAAATATATTAAAAAAGGAGGTTAAGTAAGCAAAAGAAATATTCAAATATTAATTGAAATATAAATCTAAAAAGTATATATTAAAAAAGGAAAGGAAAGAAAATTTGTGAGGATTGTTATCTTTGTTTTCTTTCTTCCTTTATATATATATATATATATGAACGAGATTGGTATCTTGCTGAAAAGAGTCACACACTGCACCTTTCTCGTTCTCTTTCTTTTTCTAGTTTGGGTATAGCAATGAAATGCTAGTATTTTTCTCTCTGGGATATGCTCGAGAAAGGTATAGCTTTTTTGATGTGGTGGCTTTTGCTTGTTGCTTGTGGCTGTTACTAATTATTATGGCTATAAGAAATTATTTGGTGATATCTTTTATTAGTTTTTATTTATTTATATATATATTATACTATATTTAAGAGTCTGAAATAAAATAAAGCAAGTAAAAATTATTTGGACCAGGCTTATGTGGTCAAGGTTAAAAGGAGGGATTTATGAAGCTTAATTAAAAGTTTATAGAGTTAGATAAAGTTATTGAATAAAATAGTAAAAGCGCGAGGTTTCATTTGGGTAGTGCCGTGTGATTCTCTCTTCCCTGGCGCCCATTGCGGCATTGCCCAGCAGAATATGTCTCGTGATAGATTAATATATACACCCACCCAAACACACATCGATTTTCAGGCACCATTATTAAACCTTAATCTCGCTTCGCTGGTCGACTCAGTACTTGATCGCCCGACTCCTAACCCATACCAAGCTGTGAAAAGAGTTAATTTCAAGTTAATCCGATTATCTGGTAAATTAATTTACGATTATTTTATAAAACATGGCTTGAAGGATTGACATGGGTGACCTGAAATCTTGTCCGGTTTCAACCTCCTTGAAGTCGTAGTTGGTCTAGTTAAATTCGAGAGAGACCCTAATCTGAAATTCAAAATTGAATAAAACCTAGATTTTTTAAAAATATTTTTATTTTTAACAAATCTTAAACTTTAAAAATTAAAAATTAATTTATAAATATTTTTCTTCATAATTTTTTTAATAACACATATCTATATAAATTGTTTTTTATTTTTTTAATATGAAATAACTATATTACTCTTTATGTCTCATATTTTATTTTTTTTATAGCCTATATTCACTTGTATTATTTCAAAACTTTTTTATATGGGATAATAGAACCTCAAATATAATTTTTTTATTTATTTTTCTAGGTTTAATTGGGTCAACCCATGTGATCCTGAACTTAATCAGTCAACCCTTAAACCAATTTTAATAATTATGATTAATAATTTACACTCACATAAATTATTTCAAAACATTTTTATGTAAAATATTAGAATCTCAAATATAATTTTTATTTTATTTGTTTAGATTTAACTGGGTTAATCCTTGTGATCTTGAACTCGACCACTCAACTCTTAGATTAATTTTAATAACTATGTCTATAACTCATCATCGTAAAACATAATTTGATTTTAATTTTTTTTAAAATAATATTATTTTAATATTTTAAAAGAATAAAAAAATTAAAATAATATCATTTTAACCTTTAAAAAATAAAAACAATATTATTATAAATTATCCGAATCACCTCATATTATCCTACCCAAATGATCCATAACCCGGGCTGGAGTTAATGACTTCACTTTCAGGTAATTGTTGACCGAGATAGGTACATATTTTGTGACACCTCAGGTAACTATACTCGAGCGAAGCAATGTATGGCATTCAAACTATACTTTAAAACCTGAATAACACGAATTAAATATAGAGCACGATGTGCTATTATATACTTAAATACACCAAGCTTCTCAAATTAGTGATGGTGGAAGATGATTGGTCTCACACCCTCCTCTTCAAGTAATCCAAAGCGCGTAGGTGTGCTCGTCCCAACACTTGTTTCACACTTCCACTTGGACTTTGCTCCACTTGACTCCTTGCATGCAATAAACTTAATTAAGAGTTGAGACCATGGGCATAACTTGCATGTGGAACACGAAATTAATTAATTAATTAATTCATGAGATCTTCCACTTTGGTGTCATGATCCACGTATAATTTGTCTTTGTTGTCCGTGACTTACTGTTTGTTTTTTTATTTTAGAAATTATTTTTTATTTGCTTTAAATTAATAATTTTTTAGTATTTTCAGATAATTTTAATGTTTTAATATTAAAAATAATTCAAGAATAATAATAATTATTTTACTTTTAAACACACATGAAATCCATGCTTATCATATAACTAATAGTAGAAGATCGCTTTCCTTGATACCAAACTGTTTGAAAGTGACCATTAATGAACTCTTATTCGTAATCCAACCTCTTGTGCTTGATTCAATGACCCAGTTGTGAGCCTCATCTCCTAGCTGGCAGGGCAGCTTCCATAATTGCTAGTAAATAAAAGAGTAATTGTGTTTATCAGTCTCACATGCTCAAAGAAATAATAATAATAATAATAAAAAAAAAAAACTTCAGGGGCGTTAATTTAGTTTGTACCTCCATTTCCATAATTAGAAAAAATAGCATATTTCTAACACAATATTATAATGGAAAAAATTAGCCTGGGGTGCACTTCAACTATATTTTTAAAAATTTTAATCTTTTTTTATTTTGCTTCAAATTATTTTTTTTTTATTTTTAGATGTTTTAATTTGCTAATGTTAAAAATAATTTTTTAATAAACTAATAAAAAAATAAAATTTTAAAAACAATATCTATTATTTTTCCAAACACCCTCTTATCCCCAGCACCAACCAGCATGTATGAAACCATATGTCGTTCATGCGTGTCCTGATTGAGATGGTAATGTTGTAGATGGAATGTTGTTCTGAAACTTAAATAACTCCATGATTTTGAAATCAATACATTTTAAAAATTCTCAACGTTTAATCGACTATAATATAGTTGATTTAATCATTTTTAACCACTACATACTTCCTCAGTGGTGACATTGTGAACGGACAAGGAACACAAAAATGGCTGACACAGTATTTAAGCCACGACACTGAATAGCATGGGTGAGAAGATATGCTACTTGAAGACCACAATAACGGGTCAGTGGTGCATGACTCCACTTTGTAAGCGTGCAGTATCTCGTCTCCAAGGGCCTGTTGATCATAAATCCGAAAATGTTGACAGGAGGCCGCTGAAAATGAGAGGGGGGGTGAGGGGGAGTCACTGACCTGGCCCCACACAACCGACGGGGAGAACCCAGGAAAAGTATTTTATGCCAGTCCTACTCTATCAGCATTTGCTTCGCTCATTTCTTTCCTTTACGAGCAAGAAAGCGATCCCTAGCTGCCTGAATTCTACTTTCACGGTCATCTGGAACTCCAGTAACAGCCTCCTCTTTCTTTGGCAAGGAGGAGACCTTTGTCTCACTTTCCTCTCTAATACTATGACCAGATCCCCCACTGCAAAATAAATAAATAATAACTCAATATTGTCAGCACTATTGTCTTTTGTCCTTGCTTGCTGGCTTGAGGGATTGGTAAAGCAAAACTAGCAATCTTACTAAGAAAGAGGGGTTAATGGAAGGAGACCAGATAAGAATTATCTTTTCCTGGCTTATGGTGAAAGGCCATGGGGAGATACTGTCTGTGATCCATGGATCTCAGATTGGAGAAAGGAAAATGAAAAATGGAAGGAAAAGATACAGGGATATTTTAGTTGGAGAATGAGGTTGGAACTAGAACTACGCCCACCCTCTTATTATAAAAATTGCATATTTATCAAATTTACCTTAGCTTGTCGATATTCAGTTTCTCAAGCTTCTTCAAAATGGGGTTGACCCATGGCATCTCTACAGCACATACATTGCGCATAAATGGACGGGAGGTGGCAATGAGTTCATGATACACAACGTAGTTTGGAAACATTCCATCTTCATCTGTTTTCAGAGTGGAGGATGGATGCACCTGAAACCACAATTTTCAGTTGAAATGGAAGCTGATTTTAAATATCACAAATAGTAGATGTGATATAAATAAATTTACAGATAAACTTTACTATTATCAATTCAATGTTGTTTTTTTCCTTTTTCAGAATACACATGCAATTGTCGCAAAAACATGTATCTATATCTCAAAAGAAAGGAACCTAGGACCTCTAGTTTCTTTTTCTTTTTCTTTTTATTTATCATGAGGACCTTTAGTTTCGTACCAAATGCCTCAACCAACAATTCACCATTCTTCTCCTTTAACATAAACCAAATAAAGCTTTTATAAATATCTTTCCATGAATTAAATACGAGGTTATCAAACATGATTGCACTAAACTCTGAAGTTCAGTCATGCAACATTTGGAATCAAATTGACCAAATTCATTATTATGCCCATATGAACAACTGCTGGGATTCAGAATATAATAACTACCATATAACAGCTTCAATACCTGAACTAGTTGGGGCTTGAAACCTATAGTTCTATAGCCATTGTGTTGTACCATTCTCTCGGCAAGCTTATTTGCATAGCCAACACACAAAGCCTTCCTCAAATTCTTGTAATCCCGTTGTCTTTCTTTATATCTTTCATTTGTTCGTACATTTAATGACCCTGCTTCCACATGAACACAATTTCAGTTCAAAATACACACACAGCATAAACATAATCCATTAGGATAGTGAAGCAGAAAAATGTACATGGAAGAATACCACTCAATTAACTAGACAGAAAATTCAAAGTGTAAAATGCAGAAGATCTTACACACGTTCTCTTACTCCACACAGACGAAGAATGATCAAGTTCATTTGTGTTTAACTTATGCTAAAAATACATAAGATGATTAAGAAAATGTAGGCAACTACAGTGTGGTTAAAAGTGCAAGGCACTTTAGGTTGCTAAATGCTTCATCACAAAATGTGCCAGCCTGGACTCTCACCAGGATGAAGCTAGGAGCTAGTTTACTGAAATGTATATATAGACAGACTTCATAGATGTTCACACGCGCACTAGAAAGAAACTAAGCAACTACAGAAACACTACTATCATCATCAAATAAAAGCATTTGTTCAACATAAAAGTTTAACACTGTCATCCTTGTAAACCCATTATGAAGTGAACAAAATTCATTTTAATATCACACCACAAACACTATTTAAATATCACCACATCAATATCATATGAAGTGCAGGGTAGGGTAGAGAGTTGTGGTTAATCCCTAATGTGGCTGCTAATTGGTGGTTTTCAAGGGAAGGCAAAACCCCAAGGGGTTAATTTCATCAGCATCCACTGCATCATCATCATCAACATCCATTCTCTCCTATCCTCCATCACTGGATTCATAGCCTTCAATCTCATCCTTTGTTTCCTCTGGAATCAGCCTCTTCCTTTTCAACATGTGCTATGAACATGACTACTTTGCACTTGTATTTGTGCTTGTTTGTTTCCTTCTGTATCTCCATCTCCTCATTTATGAAGCCCCAAATTTTCTTACGAGTTACCATATCATTTCATGTCAAATTGTCCTCACTAAATACCAAACATCTTCTGTGACTGTATTTGAAGTGTCAACACCAGTGATGTCACAGTGTGCTTGCTGAGGTACCAGGTCGAGGCACACTGTTAGAACCTCAAATGCCAATAGGCAAGGCAGTTTGCTAAGTTATTGCAGGCCTGCACTTCTCATGGAGCATTGGGCATGGGAGGTACTTGCCTAGCTAATTTGTCTCTTACAAAATTCCTTGTGTTTATTTTGCATTGTTCTCACATCTGATAGCCTTTCCACCTTACACTGAAGGACTTATTTTACAGGAGGTAAATCATCTTCAATTCAATATTGAGCTAAGAAATTGAGTTGCTATAAATATGAAGGAAAAAATAAATTAGTGCCTCTAAAAAGAAAAGCCAGCAACCAGCAGAGCATCTATAACTATGCCCCCAACAATTTCAATGTTACTGGACAACAAAACTAAAAATGAAAATGACATCTTGCCAATAAAAGCGATTTAGACATATGAAATAAAGGATCTATTTTGAAAAAATATCTGTATGATACCATATCACAATATAGGTGTCAATGTTCCTAAATATAGAAGTACTAACCCTTTGCTATTTTTTGCATTAACTGGGACAACTGTCTTCGCACATCTTTGACAAACATCATCCCTCGCACCTACAGATGGTAAACCACATACATTATTAAAGCTACATACCAGAGTGAGTTTGCTGGTATCTATAAATGAATTCTGCAAAAAACTAGGTGCCTTGGCTTCTTTTTACTGCCAAAAGGCCCAGGCATTTGCAAGAAAATGAGGGCAGATATGAATAACCTGTAACCTGTAGCATAGACAGTGCATATTCCTCTGCCTTTCAACCCAATAAAAGAAATAAGTACTAGAAAATGAGGGCAGATATGAATAACCTGTAGCATAGACAGTGCATATCCCTCTGCCTTTCAGCCCAATAAAAGAAATAAGTACTTGAAAAAACACACTTGATTTAGAAGTAACTTTTTATCAGATAGGAAAACATGTAATTGTATGACTTAAACTTAGTCTAGCAAAGATGACTTGGAAGTTGGTCAAAATATACCAAGCTTTTACATGCGGAAGAAAAAATTACCTGCAAACCTTTATCTTTGCACCAGCCAATATCAAATTCATTTTGATCCCATTCCTCAAAAATCTGTAGCAACTGAACATGATCACCATATCCAGAACCATCAGGAAGGTCAGGGGGAGGGTGTTTCCTCTTCTTTTCATTACTCTTGCTACTGCACAGTCAAAACCTTAATTAAGCTTTGAGGTGTATGTACACTTTATTACTGTGAGTCCTCTTCTTTTCATTACTCTTGCTACTGCAGAGTCAAAACCTTAATTAAGCTGAGGTGTATGTACCAAAGGCACATATATAGACATCATTACTGTGAGTCAAAGGTGAAACTCAAGTTCAATCTGCAGTTAATTAAAGTGCATCAATTAATTATCAATGCAGGTTTTCAGCCTTCAATAGCTCAAGTTCAATCTGCAGTTAATTAAAGTGGATCAATTAATTATCAATGCCGGTTTTCAGCCTTCAATTTAGGTATTTAAGAAGGCAACGTTTGAATACAAAAAATACTCTTTTTTTTAGCAACAGAAAAGCACAGATAGATGCCACATCCAACGTTGAATGTTGATTCGAGTAACTGTTTAGCATGTGGAAAAATTATTAACATCTTGACTTTTCTAGACACCAACAGAAATCTATGACTATCCACAAGCGATGTTCCTTTAGTTAAACAAATTAGCATCGGCACATGGTTCTCAAACAAGCAGATCACTGATATTAGGATCCAGCATCTTTATTGATGCAAGATAATATCTCAAAGTAGGAATAAGAAAGACAAGCATAATTTAGGTTATTAGTAGCACAAAAAATGCAAAAGGCAATGGGGTCACAAAACATGCAGCTCAACAAAAGATCAGGAGACAAGCAAATAAACATATAAAGGAATATAAGCAGCAGCCATATTATTTTACTCATTTAGCTTTTCCTTTTCATTTTCTCTATTTTTCTGGCTTTGCAAAGTTGAGATGGTAACCTATACTGACATTAGTCAATTCCAAACTAGAAGACATGATTTGAAATAATAACAGCTTTGGAAAAGCCAAAAAGGACCATATAGTGCATAGATACAAACTAACCTTTGTCCAGCAAGTAACGTGGTTTCCGCTGACAACATGGCAGCAACAGTCAAAGCCTGGGATAAGCAACCATTCTCATTTGCCTCCATCAAGGTTCTTGAAAGTGAGGGTTCTAGTGGAAGTTCTGAGTCAAAAGAAGATAATATTGTCAGCAAACTTGTGACATAAAATTTTATTTTATAGATATCAAAAGCATGCAAAATTTTAAGACTGCTTGGAATAACAAGATTTTTGCTGATGAGTGAACATTAGAAGTCAAAAAAATTAGAAGGATTAGCTAGCATTAGAAGTTTATGGAACTCATGGCAGTAGATATTCCAACATTGTTGTTCTGGATGCTCATGGTAATTGGGCATCAAGACACTGGTTTTGTGGAAATTTGTGTTGGTAGTTCTGAAAGTCTTTCCTTTTCTACTCTTACATAACTGTAACTTGTAAAAAAAGAAAACAAAAAATACAATTTGTAGATTTCCCACCAGAACTTCAATAAGACCGAGAATTAACTCCAAAGCTATTCAGTTTGTAGTTGATGGGAGGAGATTCAATCCTTTCCAAATAACTGCATGTGATTAAAGTAAACACTACCACTAATAAGTGGACCCTGACCACCACCACAAGATGGCAAGTGATATGACAAATATAGTACACTCAAACAAGAGAAGGTCTAAAAAGATGATGAGTAGGCAGCTGTTGATAGCAAGATGATTAATGCAATACTCACTGGAATGGAAAAAAATGGATATAACAGAAAAGATGGAAGGCTGTGATACATTAGAGCAACTGATATTGGTTCAACTTTTCAAAGCAAATTTGACAAAACTGCGATAAAGCACTCTAAATTATGGGCACACTCATGAATTTAGTGAATAGGAGCAAATAATGAGTGATTAAAATCCATTACCAGCCATCGTTTGTCCAACACTTGTGATCAAACCAGTATCGTCTATGGCATCAATGAGATATAGTTGCTTTAAAGCATCTTCTAGTGACTCAACTGAAACAAAGATAATCAGATTTAGGTTTCATATACTATATAGAAGAAAACACAAATAGTTCACTTATGCTCTCTAGGGTCTAGTTTTTTCTTAGCAGAAGGGATAGGGGATATAGATGTTGGTTGAGAACTCGGATTTTAGACCAAGAACATGTTAATTGCTTACATGAAGGGGGATCAAGAAAATCAAACTTGAGAATGTCAATATCTGGCAGATCTAATGATTTCAGGTAAAGAACACTCCCAGCAAGAGAAGACCGCTGTATTTCAGGAACTGTTACATCAAGGAATTCTTCTTGGTAAACCTCAGAGGAATATAGCCGATAGCACTTTCCAGGTCGTGTTCTTCCAGCTCGTCCTGCACGCTGATTTGCCTGCACTCTGCAATCAAGTAAGCCAGCAAAGTTACCTTATTGCCAAAGGAAAAATATTGGCAGAATTAGTATGTTTGGTGATGCGTCTCCAGTACGTTTGCAAAAGTCCTTTGGGAGGAAAATGCATCATGCATTTGACATCTTCGTATCAAAACCATCCAGAAGCACCCAAAAAACATCAATTTGTTGGTTTTTCAACCCAGAAGCACTTGAAACACATTGCCAAACAACCCTTAGTATTTACAAAAAGATAACTGGGAGGGTAAAGTGAAGCATGGGTGCTCTGATATCTCAACAACTTTGTTCCTTTTCTTTTGGAAGTAAATAAAATAATATAGGAGAAAAAATACCAGATAAGGGGTGGAGAAAACCTTAGGTACTTTTCTCGCTGTATAGCTGGTCAGTGATGAAATGCAGGCTTAAATCCATTGCACAGAAGCACTAATGTAATATAACTATGGTAATATTGCTGCTTTTAAGTGGCATTTACAGACAAAAAAAAATAGATGATTTTCAACTCATTAGCCATACCTAACACTAAAAATAAGCATTCCCTGCAAAATATGGGTGCCCAGAATACTCTGAATCCAATTTCTCATGGCACAAGCGTGCCTATAAAAAGATTGAGAATTTACTAAGTAATAACCAGAACACTTATATAAACACTTTCTGTCAGCTTAGTGGTCATGTAATGTATGTCTCAAAACATAAAATGAAGAATGATGACAAGAGGTTGTTGTAAGAACACAGCTTTGTTGATAATGACAAGCATGGTCTTGTAACAAAAAAGGTTTCTAGACACATTTTTCCAATTCATCCCCAACTTTTTTTGGATATAGTTAAAAGCAAACAAAGACAAATAAAGAAAAAGAGAAAAGGAAACAGTAAGAATGCAAAACCATAGTTACCAATTTGAGCAAACAAATTTATTGCAAAATGCATTTGCTCAGATATATGACATTGAGTGAGGCTGGCAGAACAAATCTCTTCTTTACCTTCTCAACAATCTCAATGACCACCATTTAACACAAATAAAATTGTATTGCACAAAGGGAGAACAAAAGCCTTAGAACAAGATTTTGTCGTTAGAAACAAGACTGACTCATGCATGAAAAACAAGAGTACAAATATTTTCAAGTATAAGGTAAAAAATAAATAAATAAAATTCAATTAGACTGCTTACTTGCTAATTTGAACAATATCGAGAGAATACATGCCGGTTGATGGGTTGTATTGCCGTTGCTTTACATATCCAGAATCAATAACGTATCTGTCATTGAAACATAATTTGCACCAAAATAACAGATTAGAGTTAAGAAGGCAAATCAATCAGTGAAAGAACAACAATCTTGACATGAAAATTGCATTAAACAAAATACATGCACAAATTGCATAAAGAATACAACTAAAACAAAAGGCACTAGTACATGATAAGTGTCTGATTGTCCTTACACAACGCCGTCAACAGTCAAAGAAGTTTCAGCAATATTTGTTGCAACGATAAATCGCCTACAGTTTGGAGGTGGAGGACTAAATACACGCACCTGAAGAGTCATGGGAAACATATGGCTGTCAAACACAAAAGTATAATGAAATTTTAAGCCCCGTGATCCACATCTCAAGAAATTAAAATGGACTCCAGCCTGACTTTCAAATAGTTGAGAGAGAAAGTTGTGCATGTAAACGAGAATGAGAAGACAATGACATCTCAAAAGGAAAATTTGCACTTTGGGATTACTTCTACCGCACAAGAACAACAGGAAATGCTGGGTAAGATTCCTGTTAGGTTTGCTAATTCATTAGTTTCTTTTTTGTTTGATTAAATGGTGTGAAAGACTCAAAATTTTAGTTCAAAGACAGACAAAAATCTGAAAGGTATCAATATGAAATGGAATGATCCCAAAAGGGATCCCTATGATTGCAGGCATAGAGTTCAATAAATAAGCTTACTTGGTTTCATTTGTGGACAAAAAGAAAAAATGAAAAACCTGCCTGCAGTTCAGGTGGTAAAGAACCATGAAGTGGAAGTATAATTGCATCCATGCAGGAGCCTTCCTCTAGGCTTTGAACTCTATCCTCCAACTTTGAAACCAACTTATCTATATCATCCTGCACAAGGCCAAAAGTGACTTTTTACAATCAATAGCAACACAAAACTTTTAATCATCAAAGCAGAAGGGTAAAGCCGAATTCAACATCACCTGTCCGGTCATGAAAATTAAGACATCACCTTCTGGTTCCCGAACATGTATATCTGAGACGAACAATTGGCAGAAAAACCTCATCAACAAGCTAACTTATCAAACAAAAAATATAATTGATAAAACATTGCAAGTCACTGCCCTTTCAATATATTGAAACCAGAGAGGAGCATACGGTTACTAGGAATGTGAGGTATTTCAGATGTATTTAGCAAGAAGCACTCAAAAAATACATCACTATCATTTCCTATATAGTACATGTAAATATTGGCAACATTAGCTGCCAGCAGAAAACAAAGCGGACAGCTAAAAACAAATTCTACCCACATACTTATCTACCCAAACAACATTACTGCAGATTTACTCAAATCAATTAGATCCCAACCCCAATACATTTAGGGTCAGCTATTCATTTCCTTCATTGTTTGATCTATGTCAGATATGATGTAACTAACTTAATGCTGCTGTCAACCAATGACAACACTCCTGTATCTGAGCTTCAGAATGGTGGTGCTGGATGCAGCATAATGTCTACAGCTAATTGAATACGAAAATAACAAAATACGCACTGAAAATGAAAATACCCTCAATTTCACCCTAATTAAGATGGCAGCTGAAACTTTTCATTGAAGGTAGCTTAAACTTCCTTTAGTACTCTGAACAGAAGATTGCAACCCACTTTGTAATTTAAATTTGTATTATCGACATCCTATATTAAGGCGCAAGAGATGTTAAAGTTCACTTATACTGTAGCAAAACAGAGCACAATAAAGATTGAAAACCTGATTGGTGGTGGTGAATGATAAGCATCTGGAAACGAGTGGAAGAATAGCTACAAACTCTTGAAATATGCTCATTTTTGCTATTTGAACAAAATTTCAATCAAAATCAGTCCCAAGATTGTTAAAACTTACACTCTATAAATGTCAATCCTGGACCTATATCGGCTGCAATTACCTAATTAATCCATATCGGCTGCAGTTACCTAATTAATACCCAGTTTGTTTATAGAATTTGCAAAAAGGAGATATTTTAGTTGAACAAACACCAGAAACAGGTCCATTTAACGATTTCCCACTATGTACTATGGATGAATATTAAATGATGGGGATGTATGGTAGGAATCTCCAGGGGAATGAAACATGGCATTAATTGAAGCCAAACACAAAGGAACATTGTCTTTTCATACCCATAGCTGTTCTTAAAGAAGATTCGATATAGCTTTTAGGACGCTCCTCACTGTACAATATTTCCACCGGGTATAACTTTCCAGGGACATTCAATACAGGGCAGTCCGAAAAGAATTCTGATACCTTTTCACCATCGAGAGTAGCTGAAGTAACGAGAACCTTCAGTTTGGAGGCACGCGTTTTAACCAAACGTTTCACCAGTCCCATCAAAATATCCCTGAGGAAGGATCAGTTGATAAACATAGTGGACATATGTTCACCAGTCCCATCAAAATATCCCTGAGGGAGGATCAGTTGATAAACATGGTGGACATATGATAAAAAAAAAAAACAAAGAAAAAAAGAAGAAGCAATATTACCAAACAAAGCATATTTCAAAGGCCTTCCTTACGTGTTCAAACTCCTCTCATGAGCTTCATCCAATATGATCACTGAATACTGATTAAGCTCCGGGCTAGACAGACATTCGCGAAGGAGCACTCCATCAGTAAGGTACCTGCGCAGTTCACCGTGCTATAATTAATAAGACATGACAAACAAAGAAATTAAAAAAATATACATATACTAGGATTGAGCTCCATTACTTGATCCGGGTCAAATCTGAAGTTCTGTCTTCAAATCGAATGGCATAACCCACTTCCTCCCCAAGAGTAACGCCAAGCTCCTGCGCAACGCGTCTGTTAAAGAACCATACGTACAAGTTTAGTCTGCAGCAACAAAGTTAGCAAACACACGAAGAAGTTTGTTGGAAGCAGTTGTTGAGACCTTGCAACGGAGACGGCGGCGACTCGACGGGGCTGAGTGACGGCAATAATTCCGGATTTGGTGTAGCCTCTGCGGTGAAGCATCTGAGAGAGTTGAGTACTCTTTCCTGAACCAGTCTCTCCAATTATCACTACCACAGCATTATCTTCCACAGTTTTCATTATTTTGTCTTCGAATTGCACTATAGGCAGATGACTCGCCATTTGATAGAAAACAAGAAGAAATTGACCTACAGCTTGACAGGAAGAGACTGCCCTCTTCTGGAACCTCAACCCTGTCTCTGCTGCTTGCTACTTTTCAAAACATGCCCCTTCTCGAGTTTGGAATGTGTTTTAAGATATCTGGGACCGACTCGTCGTCTCCTTATTAGCGGTCTAATTGCCTTCTTACCGACGTGTCACCTTTTCCCTACCAGTTAATATTGCGTCTAGCTTCTCATAAACAGTAGATTATTACTCATTTAGTCCCTGGTTTATGATTATATTGTAGGTTAGTCCTTATGGTTTTGAACATGGTTAAAAAAATCAAAATGTCCACAATGCTTTTTCTAAAACACCCTTTATATTTTGTTTTATATAGGTAAGATTGGGAAATTGACTAATAAATAGGGATTAGATATGGAGGTTTTACAACCAAAGGGATTTAACTGATAATTTTGCCACAACACGGCTAAAAAAATTTGTTGAGCTTGAATTCAAAATAATGCTGTTTTAGAAAAATTTAATTAAATTCTAACCAGGTAAATTTTTATCGAGTTTAATTTAAAATTCAATCACGACTTAGGGACGAGTTTTGCTATTAAACTCGGCCGAATTTAACAGCACTGATCGCCAAACCCAGTAAGGCTAAACGGTTTCATATTTACACCCAGTTGGTTTATTAGTGGAATTCCCATGGTGAAAAGCCGTGCATCATTGGAAGCTAGCTTCCTCAAAACACCTGTTTTCCCTCTGCCAGGGTACGGGTAGCCCTCGAAGGCACAGCAAATTTCGTGGAGCAACTGGAGACCAAAAGCTTTACAATGCCAGGTGCAGAGGAATTACTATAGAAATTACTAGGAGAAGAAGTATTAATTTTTCAAGGCACAGCCTATTTTCGTAAACATGCAGCAAAGCATTTTATTTTATTTACGATCCAAAGGTCACTCTTTTTTCTTGCCAAAAATGGCTTCTCTCGTGATCAGCTTGATTCCCCTCACCCACAGTTCGGCCATTTCAACCCCACCTTCACATACAAAGTGCACCTCCTTGTTCTTTGTGGTTATCACATGGAACATTCCTGGGTCCTCAACGTCAAGCTTTTTACGGCGATTCCAGCGAAATTTTGTGCTTGGACCAACCTCAGCACCCTTGCAAACTACGTTTCTCTTGCTTGACTTTCCCCATCGCAGAGCCCCAGAAGAATCTACCATCCTCAATAATTTGTAATGAGGAGCCCCTTTTCCACACTTTATGTGCTTCTTGACACGATTCCCCTCCAGAACAAGTTGTCGAGAAAGCTCATCCAATATTACATGCTCTGCCTCGTTTTTATAACCATTCTTCATTGCAAGAGACAGTGCAGTTTCACCTCTTTCGTTCTCAATATCGCATTGAGCCCCACGAGAGATTAGAAGCTCACACACCTTACCATGCCCTTCCCTTGCAGCTAGCATTAGTGGAGTGTATCCATCGCCATCAGATGCATTGACATCATGATCCTTTCTAGCTAACATACAAACCAAATCTAAGTCACCCCTGCGTGCTGCACGATGTAGAGCATGAATGCTGGCGGAATAGTTATATCCCTCTTTGAGTGCATACTCTATCATCACCTTTTCAATTGCCTCGCCATGTTGGTTTAACTCTGATAGGCTGATTGCCGTGTCACCAAATCTGTTCTGAAGCTTTATATTAGCTCCGGCATAGACAAGCAACCGGAAAGCCTCGATGTAACCATTAGCTGCTGCAGTCATGGCAGCAGAGAATCCATCATCATCTTGTTCATCAAGATCAATATAGGACTGCTCAAGAAGTTTTTTCAGGGCCTCAACAGCATTTGCTTGAACCACACACTTTAAAGGGGAAAACACTGCAGCATTGCTTGACTTGGCACTCTTCCCGTCTCGAATCACATCTATCACAGCTTGCTGAAAGCCAAGAGCCCATCTAGCTGACCTTGCTACTGAGCTAGCAGACAGACCAGCTGAATTAACCAGACCAAGATCAGCACCAGCTGAGACAAGAACTTTTAGGCACTCTTCTTGCCTGTACCTAGCACATATCATTAAGGCTGTTTCTCCGGAATCTGTTCTTGAGTTGAGATCACAGCTAGCAAAGACCAGCTGTTCAAGAACTTTCAGTGTTCCAAGCCGTGCAGCTAAATGCACAGGACGTAAATCATTTTTCAAAGTTGTTTTCACTGGAAGTTCTTTATCTGCACCGCAATGTAGTAACACTTCTGCTGCTCGTGCATTACTGCATAGAATGGCATGATGGATGAGAGTTCTCCCAAAGTGAGGGATGTTAGGAGAGAGGTGCTGAAGGAGCATGCGCAATATAGCACCACTGGCTTCAAAATACTCCACAGCACACCAGGTGATTGAATACGCTTCAGCTAGTCCTGCACCAACTCGGAATTCTTCCCCGGTATCCATGTCCCAAGACCAGGCTCCCAGTCTCACCTTCATGTCCGTCCCAACTCCAACCTGTTTCCAGTTTCCAAAAGTTAAAAACCATGGCGAATGATGAGCAGTACTTGTGCTAAAATAAGAATGTTTAATCTATAAATTACTCTCTAATATACCGACAAAGTAAGGTCATGCCAGAAAACGGCAAACATGAGGACCACCATAAAAGTATAATGATTTCATTCATATACAGCACATTTCGCTGAAACATACCCAAGGACCCCATACTCCGCACCCACCCATACAAATATTTGGGAACAGAACCTTTGTTGTTGTAAGAATGTATGGCCAGATTAAATTGTCAAAAAATGACACCATTCAAGCAACAGAATAATTTTAAATATCTTGTACCCCCTCACGCGTCAAGAAGAAACCAGACTAATCTCCAAAAGCTATAAACCTAAGGACTTGCTAAGCACATACACAAAGCAAAGCGTGGTTCTTCAGTGCCTATAGAATTTCTCTTGTATGGACAAAATTAAATGCATTAGATCTAGTTAGGGGAGGTAAATGCTCCGCCTGATGGTTCAATTCTTCCATTAATAACTCCATTTTATGAAAATATTCTGACAAGGCACAATTCACACTTCAAGCAACAATATCAGGTTGCATAGCTTCACTGGTCCTACACTTCGAACATGTTGTTATCCTTGATATATGCCATTTTGACTAGGATCGCTAGAAGATCCATCTTTTATGATGAGCTTCGTGAATTGTGATAGTCAGGAACCAAAATGTTTACCTGCAGCAGCAATCTAACAACAGAGATCTGTCTACTAACAATGGCGGCAGCAAGTGCATTGCAGTCAACGTTAGCATGAAGTGGTGGCTTAGAAGATCGAAGCAGAACCCTATCGATTGCACTGGCATCTACTCCACACTGTCACAACTTCAGAGTCTCAGTGTAAATTCGCAATATCAAATTGATGCGCTTAAATTCAACACCGCTATGCAAAGCAAAGTCAGAACAACCCTTTAATCAGAAATATTGCTCTTGGATAAAAATTTGAATCGATTTTCTCATAACAATAATACAGCGGACCATAAATGCTCTCACTGTTGGGTTATGTCACTATTTCTCTTCAGAGATAAAGGCGAGTCAAATTGACTAGTGATATACTTGCCACCCTTTAATCAGAAATATTGCTCTTGGATTAAAATTTGAAGCGATTTTCTCATAACAGTAATACAGCGGCCATAAATGCTCTCACTGTTGGGTTATGTTACTATTTCTCTTCACAGATAAAAGCGAGTCCAATTGACAAGTGATATACTTGCTGGAAGAAAAGGTGAATCGACGTCTAAAATGCTGCAACTTATATTAAACATTCATTAGAAACAAAGTAAAAATCTGGTAAAGGTACATTATTTTGATCAGTTAAAAGGATTGTCAAGGAATCTAAAATCCTTCAGAATCCTCCCATAGTTTCTCAACTCGTCAAACCCTTGAAATCAGTATCAGTTTCTAGTGTGAAATTGATCAACTCAAAGTTTTGAAGTACTGAAGTTATACCGTTTCAGAAATCTGCAAGTCTACTATGCGAAGCTTTTGAAGTGGCATGAGTGGTTACCTTGACGAGTGTGTCGACTACATTGGAAAACCCTCTACTGCATGCAGATACAAGTGCATGAACAGCAACTTGTGGGCGTATCAAGTCAGATCCTATGAGCAGCTCTGCAGGCCTGGCCTGCCCAAGGTAGCTTGCCTCTAATAAAGCCTCCTCGCATGCCTCCTGAGATGCCCCAGATTTCACTAGAACGTCTAATATATCCAAATGCCCCTCCCTTATCGCTGCTGTTGTGGCATAGCCTCGAAACAGTTTCTGATTTACATTGGCTCCATGACTCTGTCACGCAGGACGACAAATTTTAAAGCAGCAAAAAGGCATGGGTATTCAATACTGCCAGTGAAAAAGATAAATGTGGTGGCGTCATCAAGCACAGCAAGATCCAGCTACGGTATAAATCGATAAATTGAAACGGCACCATCAATTACTGAGTTAATATAGAGTCCATTCAGTGCCAGAATATAACAAGTCAGAAATATGATTCAGCAAGCAAGAAAGTGTTTATACACACACACAACTATTCTTTCTTTTTTTCAAATATGATTCAGCAAGCAAGAAAGTGTTTCTATACACACACGCGCACGCACACACACACACACAAAATTATTCTTTCTTTTTTTCTTTTTTTTTTGAACATGAATACAGAAAGGTTCTCGGAACGTGAAAGTATTATGTGCAAGGTGTAATAATAGTATAGAATGGTAAAAGTCGTGACAGAAACTACCAGTAGTAGGGGTGGAAAAGTCCTGGCCCTGATTTCCCAAATGAATCAAATCTATGATCTGACCTCACCCTCTGAGTTAACAGGACAGTATAGCAGATGGAATATTATAAAGGGAAAGCTATGTTTGATTGAGCCCAGATTTTAGATAAGCTCTCTGCAGGATTTTGGTGAGCATGATTGTACTTGGCATTTGTTACGCTGAAGATTCCGAGTATCCAAAGCAGGAAGTTGTTGAAATAGCTTTCAGACAACTATAACTTAGTCCTTTATATTTGAAAACCTATAACTTAGTCCCTTAACTCTTGTTGACTCTTAACTTTCTAAAACATCTTGGTTTTCTCTAAACCTCTATCATGTTTTTTATTGCGGCCAAAACTTCGTTTGCCTAAAATTTAAATTTTATTTATTTAAAATTAAATTTTTTAATATTTTTATATTATTTTAATATATTAATATCAAAAATAAATTTTAATATATATATATATTTTCGAGCAAAAAGCATATTTAAACGCAAATTGACATGCACTAAAATCCAAGGGCCTAAGTTATAGGTTTATAAACATGAGGGGCTAATTATAGTTTTTTTCAAACTCAGGGACCAGAGAATAATTTACATGCAGTGAATGTTGAGAAGATCATAAAATCTGCAGCATACGTCACGTGATCTCTCGGAGGCAGGCTTATTTGCCAGGTTTTTTTTTCCTAGATATTTCTCAGTGCACGCGCAATGCTGAATTGAAGTGAAAAAAAAATAATTAAAATAAATTAACACACATCCTTACGGATTTATCCCAGTTACATATTTTTACACCCACATCCCCGAATCATTCCTCATTATGGCAAACCTCTAGTAATTGTGAGGATTAATTTTTCTTAGATTTTTACCGTTACTAATTTAAGGAATTTGTTGATGCTATTGCCCTAATGCTAGCTGGAATCACAATGATCAAAGTTCAAATTTAAAAATTAATTAATTAATTAATCTCCATAATCGAAATGTTTTATCATTTACATGCGAAAAGGTATACATCAAGATGATTTACTTCGTCAAGGAAATAAAAATAGAAAGAGCAGTGAATCACAATGATCAAAGTTCAAATTTAAAAAAAATAAATAAATCTCCATAATCAAAATGTTTTATCATTTACATGCGAGAAAGTATACATCAAGATGATTTATTTCGTCACAGAAATAAAAATAGAAAGAGCAGTGGTAATGTCTGAATTCTAAAACATGTTAAACAACATTTTTTTTTTGTTTTTGTCTAACACGTAGACAAAAAACGAATCAAACTCTGTTTTGTCTGAAAATGAAGCGAAGGTCTAATACCAGGAAGAGAAAAAATGAGGGGAGGGTCAGTGAGTTTATTACCAGTAACTTTCTGACAAGAGTTAAATTCCCGGCATGAGCGGCGAGGAAGAGAGCAGTAACGTCGGTCTTGAACTCCTCGTATTCAACATGAACTTCATGTGCCGCCTCATCGTGCAACAAGACTTCAGTCTTCTTTGACTTCAAGCTGACAGTTCCGATGAAGTTGACGTCCACAAAAGGATCTTCAAGACACTGAAGTGCCAGTTTTAAATCATTATTATGCGAAGCATCGACGAGTTTCTGTGAAACCTCTGCCTGGTAATCAACTGGAAACACCTGTTTTCCGGCTAGAAATACGGCGCCGGAGTTCCCAAATACTGTCATTTCTCTCACTTTTCTGTGTGAAAGACTCCACGTCTCGATCTCGTCTGCGTGCAGGAGAGGAGAGGAGAGGAGAGGGTGGTCAAGGAGGGAAAGGAAGCGTTTTATTTATTTTTGGGAGTGGCTTAACCGCGGTTAAATGCTTCGCTAGGACCACGTCGTCACCTGATTGTGGGACCTTCTTGAGTGGGGTCCGGTAATTAATTCTAGCACACATGTTCTTCTCTCCATTTAACGAGGGGAAAATAATTTAAAAAAAAGAACTTTTTACAGCATTGTTTTGTGCCATTTGGATGATTGCTAGTTTTTTTTTTTTGGTCTACGATTAGTGTGCTTATAATTTTTTTATAAGATATGTTGTGCAGAAATTATTTGGTAATTGAATTAGAAAATATATTTAGGATCATTTTGATCACATGAAAGAGATTATTATTATTATTATTATTATTATTATTATTATTATTAACAAGGGAATACTAGGTCTAATGGGTAGGAAATATTTAAAATTTCAAGCTCGACACCCCTTCTCTCGAGTTCAAAAACAAAGGAATAAAAACAACAACAAATTAAACCAATAAACAAAAATTAAAAAGACAAAATAGTGCCACCTTCCTTCCCTTGGAATGCTAGATTCTGAGCGATACATGCATGCAATTATTTAAAAATCACAATCATTGATATATTTAATGATATATTTAAATTGCTGGATGTATGTGGATTTCATGGATTCTGTTCCATCGTATCTCAATTTGAGAGGAAGAAAAAGGGTTCAATTCAAGATTAAAACTTCAAAGATAGTTACATTTATAATTTTAAAATTCAGTTTAATAGGTGAATCTAGAATACAGTTAATTCAAAATTAAAATTAAATTAAATTTAAAAAAATAAAAAATTTAGTTAACTTGACAAGTTAATCTAGCAAAATCTAGTTAAAAAATCAATTTAACTTGTTAATTATTTATTTTTAACTAAAATGATATTATTTTTATTTACAAAAAAATTAAAATTTAACTAAACAAAACTCATCATTCAGACTTTGAATAGGATTAATAGTTAGACCGGATTTAAAAACTTTAAATTCATGGTGAAAATAATATCTTACAGATCTGCTCATAAAATGCTTCCAAAGGGCGTTTATTAATCGATAGCAGAGATTAATTACGGCTTAATTACGTGATGGAGTTTTAGATTTCAAAGTTCATGTCATTCTTAAAGTTTGTGCTACTTTTATTTCTTTTTCAATTAGTACGGTTTAAATTGTCTTCCTTGAACAAGTTGCTTACAAAGGGCCATGCACAGACAGCAGGAGCGACATAAAAAAAAAATAAGTCGGGCCATTGCAGATAGAAAAATTTCTGTATTTTATTCAAACAGTGTCCATCGGACGAGCTTAGGAGGTTAAATCTCCACTAACTGCCGGATTTGGCCTGCATGTTTTGCTTGCAGTGGACTTTGTGGGCATCACAGGAGAGATCGCATAAGAATGTTTGTTTGCATGGATGATGACAATCAAGTGGCCAAAATATATAGAGCAAAACTATTACGGGTAGTATCAAATTTATTTGAACACAAATACAAACATTTCAAGCATTGTTAATTTTTTTCAGCAAAAAAAAAAAAATTATGTTAGAGTTAATATGACCAACCAACTTAGTGAATCCAAAGGTTATTTAAATGGTTGGTTAAAATATAGTTTAATTTAAAAAATTTAAAACGATATTTAAAAAAAAAATATTGAGATGATAGTATATTTGATCAATTCGAATAAACCCAGGTTAACCTGTCAAATTTATATATCATGTAATAAGACTATAATAACCTTATATACAGTTATATATCATGTAATAAGACTATAATAACCTCATATAAAGTTAATCAAAATAAATTATGAAATTAATTTTCAAATCAACTCAATGTTGAATGATAAAATTAAAAAATAAATCTATTAAAAATTATTAAAAAAATAACTTGAATCAATCTATTAAATCCACAACTCAGGTTATGAAATTAGGATAACCTTATAAAAAATAAACTAAAATAAATTATTAAACTTGACTTTTAATAAACTCAATGCTAAGTGATGAAATTAAAAGGGTTAACAGTAGAAAAAGACATAAAACAACAAGTTCAGTCAACCCAAGTTAACTCGTGAAATTAATAACTCAAGTCATGAGAACAGAATAATCTCATATAAAATAAATTTAAAAAACAATTAAAATTAACTCGGGTTAACTTACCAAACCAACAATTCATGTAATGAGATTGAGATAATCTCATAGATATTTGATCAAAACAATTTATGAAACTTATTTTTTAATAAATCAATTATTGAGTAATGAAATTATATATGTATATATAAAAACACAATAAAATGACAGAGTCTACCAATGTTAACCTAAAAACTAGTTATGAGAGCGAGATAATCTTATAGAAAATAAACCAAAATAAATCATAAAACCTAATTCTAAATCAATCCAATATTTAAGATAACTTAAGACTAAATTACAAAAATCAAGAGATAGATGTAGTTTAAAATATTTGATCTCGCAATACAGATCATATTTCATATTGTATTAAATAAAGTTTTTTATTATAATCCTTTTTTTATTTAATCAGACGATAATATAAATAGACATGCACATTAAAGAGATTTAATAAAATCAAAGAAAAAATCCATCCCCTATACTTTATATACATGAAAGTGATTGAATAATATAAAAAAAATCATTGAGCCCAATTGAGTCCTTTATCCAGGAAGTGGGTTTAATGAGTTAACCCACAACATCTAGGCTATTATTTGTTTTTTTTTTTTGTTTAATGCTTTTTATATCCCTTAATTTTAAACAATTTAACATTTTGTTATCAGTAATTTATTTTTTCTAACTCAAAAATAGATGACATGTTGTTTGTTGTGGCACACGACACGCTATTGGCTATCACAAAAGACACATCATTCATTATCTTTAAAAAAACAAAAAATAATTATAGATCTAAACAGGAAGGTTATTATGGAAGGCTTAGGCATGCGAGATGAGCTAGAAGGCCCACGCATTTAGGCTGTTTTATTTTATTATATCGAGACATGCAACTAGTCTTCTTTTTTTCTATTTCGAGTCTAATTTAAAAATAAAAATAAAAATAATAAATTATTTAACCCAATAGAATATTTTATTAAGGTAATGGATTTAGCGAGTTAATCTACAACAACATAGCTTTATTTATTATTTATTATTTATTTTTTTAATACTTGTCCAATGCTTTTTGTGTCCCTCAATTTTATTAAAAAAATTACAATTTGATCATTTTTCTTTTTTATCAATGGTTCATTTTTTTAGCTCAAACCCAAAAGAATGCAATTTAATATTTTATTATCAATAATCTATCATTGTTATCTTACCCGCACATTCCTATCACCATTTTTTTTTAACTTTTAAAAACTATATTGTTTCACACCAAAAAAAAATATTGTGCACTTTATTGTCATGCAATTAAATAAATAATAATAATTGAGATAAAAAATTATTGATTTCAATGACATGTATGACTTGCGTTGCAAGTATGTTAGGTTGACACAAGTTTGCTTTGTTTTTTTAAATCAAATTCTATTTTTTTACTAATTTTCTCATTCAAAATTGAGTTAATGCAAGACTGAGCTTTCAAAATTATTTTTTTAAGGATTATACCCACTAGTTTTGCAAGTCAGCCCAAGTTAATTCAAATGGATCAAATGTTTTTTTATCTCAATATTAGATCAAAATATCATTCAATTAATGATCAATAATTATTTTTGTTTCTAAAAGACATGCCACCAATATCTAAATATTTTTTCGGCTGTTTAATTTTTTTTTGCTCTAACACTTGAGTTTAACATATTAATGCACAACATTTGAGTTATTTTTTTTTTTTTGTCAATAATCCACCTTTGTTATCTTGACCACAGGTGTCTATCATTGTTTTTTAACTATAAAAAAATATGTTGTTTCGTACCAAAACAAATATCATACACTTTATTACCGTATAATTGAATAAAAAATAATTTACAAGTAAAAAGTTATTTAATCTAATAACATGTATGATTTGCGTTGTGAATTTGCTTTGTTAATTATATTTTTTAATCAAATGTTATTTTTTATCGATCTTATCCTTCAATATTTAGTTAATTTATAAGTAAAATGTTTCAAAAAAAATATTGTGCACTTTATTGTCATACAATTAAATAAACAATAATAATTGAGATAAAGAAATTATTGATTCCGATGACATGCATGACTTGCGTTGCAAGTATGTCAGGTTAATTCAAGTTTGCTTTATTTTTTAAAATCAAATTCTATTTTTTTTACCGATTTTCTCATTCAAAATTGAGTTAATGCAAGATTGAGCTTTCAAAATTATTTTTTTAAGGATTATACCCACTAGTTTTGCAAGTCAACCCAAGTTAATTCAAATGGATCAAATGTTTTTTTATCTTAATATTAGATTAAAAAATCATTCAATTAATGACCAATAATTATTTTTGTTTTTAAAAGACATGTCACCAATATCTGAATATTTTTTCAGCTGTTTAATTTTTTTTTGCTCTAACACTTGAGTTTAACATATTAATGCACAACGTTTGAGTTATTTTTTTTTTTTTGTCAATAATCCACCTTTGTTATCTTGACCACAGGTGTCTATCATTGTTTTTTAACTATAAAAGAATGTGTTGTTTCATATCAAAACAAATATCATACAATTAAATAAAAAATAATTTACAAGTAAAAAGTTATTTAATCTAATAACATGTATGATTTGCGTTGTGAATTTGCTTTGTTAATTATATTTTTTAATCAAATGTTATTTTTTATCGATCTTATTTTTCAATATTTAGTTAATTTAAGATTGAGCTTTTTATTTTGTTTTTTTTTAATTATTCCCACGAGTTTTACAAATGCACCTAATTTAATCTAAGTAGATCAAATATTTTTTTTTTTATTTTAAATTAATATATTTTTTATCTTAATTTTAAATTAATATATCATTCAATTTACGGTTAAAATCTATTTGTTTTTCAGGAAGGTATGTCGCCAATTTCTTTTGTACTTTTAAAAGAA